TCTTATTTCAAACAATATATATAATAATAGAGGGAGATCTATTTGATGATTTAAAAGCGTTGACATGGAAGGCTAGTTGGCAAAAAAAGAAAGCCAAAATAAGGCTGAAGAAAATGGGGGTTTTGATTTACCAGAGGGGATTTCATATTACTAATTAGAGGGTCAAAGGGAGAAGTTGAGATAAGGGGAATTTTGGTCATTAAATTTAAAACATTTGGAAATTAGTTGAAAATAAGGATGCTATTTGTTTAATACTTAAAAATTAGAGCCAAAAGAAAAAAAAATGAATATGTTTGATTTATTGATTAACTCAGACAATATATATAATGGGCTTTGATTTATGTATGTTACTGAACTATAGATGAACCCAGCCACCACGTTGCTTTTTAAATACCTAAATGTAAAATTAGAAAATTAATAAAAATATTATTTAAAAAAAGAAAAAAAAGGGAAAGACAGTTATTGTGGCATGCATGAACTGAAATCCACAGAAGCTAGTTTTGCAATAAATTATTTAGTCTATAAGATGCTGGAATTTACAACGGAGACTATACCTTGAATGCATCATGTTTATAATTGGTTCATGCCATTAGTTCTATTTTTATATTTGAGAAGTCAAGTACTTAACACATCTTTCATTAGCTTATGGTGGTGTACCAGCTATCCTCATTGGTAGAGAGAATGCAGCTATTGCTATGGAATTGGCATTGTGGCTGCTTTTGAATAGAAATTATGTGAAAAAAACAACAAAACACAACAAAAAGGTGCACATATGTTGCATGCCTGTTATCTACAGCAGGGCTTTTCAACCTTTTCACCCATTGTACCACTTTTAGGATATGGCAACATCCGAGTACCACCAGTTACCTAGCAAGGTGTCAAAAACTTGATAAAGTACAGGTAGTCTTCGACTTACAACAGTTCACTTAGTGACTGTTCGAAGTTACAACGGCACTGAAAAAAGTGCCCCCAAGCCACAGCCGAGCAAGACACCTGCCTGGCCACCCGGCGGCGCTCTTCCTCCTGTCCGAGGTTTTCATTGTTGTGAGCATTTCTGTTGAGGATTGGCAGCGGGGGTGGGGGTGTTTGGTTTTTATTTCCCCCATCTGCTGGGTGGTTGCAGCAGGTTTTGGTCACTTCACATGACCCTGGGACACTGTGACTGTCATAAATATGAATCAGTTGCCAAGCATCTGAATGTAAATCACAAGACCCTGGAGATGCTGCAAAATTCCAGCTGATCGGCGCTTCTGGGCTCAGCAGAAGTGTCAGGATCAGTGCTGCTTTCCAGCTGATTGGTGCTTCTTCAGGGCTCAGCAGAAGCAACAGGATCAGCGCCGAGCTCCAGCTGGAGCCTGGCGCTGATCCTGGCGCTTCCACTGAGCCCTGACAGCCCTGCAGCTCCAGCCATCTCTCGCTTAGGCTTGTGCGGTGCTGCCACCGGTTCAGCTCATTCCCCTCCCCCACTACTTTTCTAGGACGGTCGCGTACCACCTGCCAGGTTCCAATGTACCACAGGTGGTACCCGTACCACTGGTTGAAAAGCCCTGATCTAGGGCAGTTTGGTCTAGTGCAGGGGTCTTCAAACATGGCCCTTTTATGACTTGTGGACTTCAACTCCCAGAATTCCTCAGCCAGACATGCTGGCTGAGGAATTATGGGAGTTGAAGTCCACAAGTCATAAAAGGGCCAATTTTGAAGACCCTTGGTATAGTGGTTAAGCCACCAGGCTTGAAAGCATGAGCTCAAGTCTTGTCTTAGCCATGAAAGCCATTTGGGTGACTTTGGGCCAGTCACTCTCTCTCAGGCCAACCCACTTCACAAATTATTGTTGTAGGGAAAATAGGAGGAGGAAGGTGTGTTAGATATGTAAAAATAATAAAGGCAGGATATAAATAATGAAATAAATAAATAATAAAGCAAACCTCTTTTTATTTTACTCAGACTTAACATGTTTTAACTGCAACCTGCTGATATTATTAGGCTGCTGTGGGTTGTTGTGGTTTTCCTATTGAAATGTAAATTTTTGTTACTGCTTTTCCCTTTTAATCCCTTAAACCCTTCTTTTTATCTTACAATAAATAGCTTTGAGAAGAAGCTTATAAAAGTGTGAATATACATGATTTTTGTTTTGTCAAAACCGTGGGAGTCATAGCTTGTCTCAGGCTTCCAAAGGTGAAAGTTTGAATTGGGAATTGCTGAACTAGGGGTGCCAGAAAAATGTTAATGGATTCATTTCCATGCAGAATTGTCTTAACTGCTAAAACAAAATCTGTTCCACTACAAACAAGCAGGTAATTCACTGAGGCTGTCAACATCTGTCTTGAAATGTAGCTCAGCACAAAAAGTGTGAAATAAACACATCTATTTGGGAAACCAGGAAAATAAATGTATGTTTGCAAAAATGTGTTTATTAATGAAAAATGTGTTCAAGACGCATACAAAATGCAAATTTGTGAAAGTCATCTGCGAAAATATAAAGCATCTCTTAGGAATATAAAAAAATATGATGATGTGGACAATCAGTAGAATATATTAATAATTGAACATGCATGTGTTATATATATATAAAACCATATATATATATATGGCTCAACTGCAGACTGATCTGTATATTCCTTCTCCAAGCTCACCCTCTATATGCCCTTTATGGAAACAAAAAAGAGGGAACTGGAGGTAGTTTTTATTAAGGATGGTTCAGTTGTGAACAGATTTAATTAACAAATGGCAATAGCTCTCCAGGCATTGAATCTGTGATTTGAAATATCAGGTGACCCTAATCTTGATGATTATTTTTTTTTGAGTATGTGCAAGATGCCAAAGTGTAGGAGGAGAGAAGAACAGCGAGCCATTGCTGCTTCTTGGCAGACAATGTTCAGACTCCACAACAAAAGTTGTATCGGTTTTACCAGACATTTACATATTTTTCAGTTAGTGTTGCTGAACAGTGCCATCTAGATAAAGATGTGTGTCATCTTAGACAATGTGTGGAATAAATAACTTGCACATTACCACATCTTTGTCCTCAGTCGGTAGTTCTTATCTTGGACCCAAACCAATCTCCATTCTAATATCTCTATTTTTAAATGTTTCTCCATTTTTTTTCTGCTCTTAATAGTATGAGGATTTTGCTGATACAATTGCTAGTAAGTTGGGCACTTCCAGAGGGCAGATCAGTTGTGTATTGATGTGAAAGCATAGGCACCCTGTATTTTTCAAAGATAAAGGTAAAAGTTTCCCCTGCCCAGTCATGTCTGACTTTAGGAGGTAGTGCTTACAGTATCTCTGTTTCCTAGCAGAGAAAGCCAGCATTGTCCGAAGATGCTTCCATAGTCACGTGGCTAGCATGACTGTATGCCAAGGTGCACAGAACACTGTTACCTTCCCACCGAAGTGGTACCTATTTATCTATTTGCATTTGCATGTTTTCAAACTGCTAGTTGGCGGGAGCTGGGGTAGGAACGGGAGCTCAACTGACAGGTGATACTTGGGTCTCAAATTGCCAGTCTTCCAGTTGACAAGCCCAGTGTCTTAACTGCTAGGCCACCATGTCCCCATAGACCCCCAGGCCCCATCTATATACTTTAGGGGTATTTAATTACAAATGTGAATATCTGTGGTATACCACACATGTTTTGAGAATCTATTCAACTTAAATTTTCAGATAAGCCAAGTGGTGCCCTCATTGAATAAATATGTAAGTCTCATTGGAATAGTCCCTCAGGGCCAAATATTTTGCTACCTGTAGATGATCTGAGAAACTTAAGTTCCATCAGAAATTAATGAGGGAACAGGATTTGACTGAGTCAGTTACCTAAAGCAATAAAACCTGAGATTGGGAGTGGGAAATTACCTAATGGAGACCTTTAAAAAAGGGCAAGGACTTCTGTTGTCCCTGGAGGTTTTTAAGAAGAAATTGGACAACCATTTGTCTGAAGTGGTATAGGGTTTCCTGCTTGAGCAGGGGGGTGGACTAGAAGGACCTCCAAGGTCTCACCCAACTCTGTTATTCTATTGCTGAATGACTTAGATTGTGATTTGATAATCTCCACTCCACCTTCCACTTGTTTCTAAAATTCAGCTTGGTATCACCTTGTGATTTTACAACACACTCCAATATTTTGCTATGAAATACCTGGAGATGAATTTCCCAGAAATCATGTAATAAACAAATGTCTGCATCCTCCAGACCATCAGTTTTGGTCAATTGTGTGCAAAAGGGAGCCCATTTGGGGCAAGAATTCAGCATCACAAGCTGCAGGCAAAGCTGAATGAAATGCCCCAGATTTCCATGAATAAATAACCTTTAACAGCCCAATCCTAGCAAACCTATTTGAATAAAAATGCAAAATAAGGCTATAAGAGTCCTTTGTTGCATTTTCTTCTAATGATGGATTGTAATGTTAATCTTCAGTTACTAAGAGGATTAAGTCAACATGGAATCAAGTTATTGGCTTTTCACAAATGAATTGGAACTCCCAGAATTCCCAGACACCTAATGGAGGATACCTGATAGGCCTACGAAAAGACATATTTTGCAGCCATGAATTTGTTGCTAGAAATGGTGCACTGAATTCTTCGATAACTCTGTCCACTTAATTCTCTTCTGAGCAGGAATATGGTGAAGTAGAATCTGCAATCTCCTGGTGAAGATTTCTTTCATATATGCTTCTGAGTTCTTGTTTTGCCTGTAGAATCGCTCTGTAGGAGATGACTTGGTTAAGCCTGAGGGAGGGGTCAAATAGGTCATCAGTCTCAAATCCCTTCACATCCACAAGAGATTTAACTCCAGCCTACCTTGATTTCCATTGATTCTTATCTACCATCAATTTGCTTTGACTGTTAGTAGTTCAGATTCTTGTGGAGAGCATAAGCTTTCAATAAATATTTATATTCATTTGAACTGCCTGGACTCTCTGATTTCCTTTTGCTTGACATGCTCTCCTGTAATGCTGTGTATTCTCTTTTCTTTTTTTCCAGGATCCTGACCCTGTTCTACAATGGAAAAACTGCTTCTATATCTGTTCTTCATTGGCTTAGTGCTGAAGGCTGAGACCTGTCCCAAGCGCTGCGTATGCCAGATCTGGTCTCCCAATCTTGCTACACTTTGTGCAAAGAAAGGGCTATTGTTTGTCCCTCCTGACATTGATAGGAAGACAGTAGAGTTGCGGCTGGCAGACAACTTTGTTACAAATATCAAGCGGAAAGATTTCGCCAACATGACCAGCCTGGTCGACCTGACACTGTCTAGGAATACAATTAGTTTCATCACCCCTCATGCATTTGCTGACTTGCGCAACCTGAGGGCTTTGCACTTGAACAGTAACCGATTGACTAAAATCACCCATGACATGCTAAGTGGGCTTTCCAATCTGCATCATTTGATATTGAACAATAACCAGCTGACAATGATCTCTTCCACTGCTTTTGACGACGTCTTGGCTCTTGAGGAGTTGGATTTGTCCTACAACAACCTGGAGACCATCCCCTGGGATGCTGTTGAGAAGATGATCAGCTTGCACACCCTCAGTTTGGACCACAATATGATCAACAACATTCCCAAGGGGACGTTCTCCCACCTCCACAAGATGACCCGGCTGGACGTCACGTCCAACAAACTGCATAAGCTGCCGCCTGACCCTCTCTTCCAGCGAGCTCAGGTTTTAGCCACCTCAGGAATCATCAGCCCATCCACATTTGCACTGAGCTTTGGAGGGAACCCTCTTCATTGCAATTGTGAACTTTTGTGGCTGAGACGCCTTTCCAGGGAGGATGACCTAGAGACATGTGCTTCACCTTCTGTTCTGTCTGGCCGCTATTTCTGGTCGGTCCCCGAGGAGGAGTTCCTGTGTGAACCCCCCCTCATTACTAGGCACACGCATGAGCTCAGAGTGCTAGAGGGCCAAAGAGCCATCCTGAGATGTAAAGCCCGTGGTGACCCCGAGCCTGCTATACATTGGATTTCCCCAGAAGGCAAGCTGATTTCTAATGCAACCCGGTCTCTGGTATACGACAACGGAACACTTGACATTCATATCACGACCATGAAGGATACAGGCTCTTTCACCTGTATTGCTTCCAACCCAGCGGGGGAAGACACCCAGTCTGTAGATCTTCACATAATCAAACTGCCTCACATAGTAAACAGCACAAACCACATCCATGAGCCAGATCCTGGCTCCTCGGATATATCAACTTCGACCAAATCTGGCTCAAATGCAAGCAGTAGCAACGGGGAAACAAAAATTAGCCAGGACAAGAAGGTGGTGATAGCAGAAGCCACATCATCCACTGCCCTGCTTAAATTTAATTTCCAAAGGAATATACCCGGGATACGTATGTTCCAAATTCAGTATAACGGAACATATGATGATTCGCTTGTTTACAGGTAGGGGATTCTGGCCCAGCTGAATTCCAGAAAAGTGAGGAATGAAACTGTATTCCTTTTGCCTGTTGGACAGATGGTTAAATATATAGGTTGGGATGGAAAGAGTGATAATGTAACAACCTCCTGCAAGGAGAAACAACACAAAGAGGTTGCCTAGCTTGTGTGGTAGCAGAATGGCTCACAAGCATAATCTGATTCCAAGAACTCTGTTTTCTTTAAAGTTTGCAGAATAACGTTGAATGGTTTGTGGGTCTACTTCTTTAGTTTGTCACTCCACAATTACACTACTGTATTTGTTGACAATTAGCATAATCATCTTTTGAAGGATTTGGGGTATTGTCAGTCCTGTGTTTGGAAAGCATGGCTGTTGGCTTCCTGAGATATTTCTCCATAGTTTATGTAACTGATCTCTAACTGCTGAATTGCTCACTGGAATCATATAAGGAAAGGAATGATGGGTGGTACATTTGCTTTGGATATGATATGAACTCTTATCCCAGTCAGAGTTGGCATTCTTGTCTTTAGAAAAGGAAAAAAATATGCCACAGGGGAGAGAATGACCGATCAGGTACTAGGGTTGGGTGATGCTTTGGAAGTAATCCAGAAAAGGTAATCCGTATGTGAGAGCATGAAAGTAGCACCTCTCTGTAACCTTTTAAAGCAGCTGTGTCCAATCTGTGGTCCTGGACAGCTAGTAATGCGGCTCCACAAGGTTGCAAACTTTTAACATTATTATATAATTTATATTCATTAACTATATTCTATATTTTACATGCATCCTAGGACATTTCCTCTTCACTCAATATGTCCCAGGCAAGCCAAAAGGTTGGACAACAATGCTTTAAAACAGGGGTGGGGAACAGTGGCCCTTTTATGACTTGTGGACTTCAAGCCCCAGAATTCCTCAGCCAGTGTGCCTAGCTGAGGAATTCTGGGAGTTGAAGTCCATAAGTCATAAAAGGGCCAAGTTTGAAGACCCCTGGCTTAGGAGTATAACCTAGATCAGGGGTAGGGAACCTTGGCTCTTTTATAATTTGTAGACTTCAACTCCCAGAATTCCTGAGACAGTATGGCTGGTTCAGGAATTCTGGGTATTGAAGTCCACAAGTTATAAAAGAGCCAAGGTTCCCTACCCCTGACCTAGATGATAATATGCCTCCATATGTTCCTGCCCAAATGTTAAGAACAGCTGATGATGGTCTATTAAAACAGAGAATTTTATTTCCTCGGGCTGTTAGATTCATTACTGTTTTTATGCTCTGGTTATTTGTGAATGTTCTAAGCAACTCTGAGAATTTTAGCAAACTGAAAAGCAGGATCTGTTTTTTTTTAAATAAACCAATTAATAAATAAATGAGAGCTATTAGACCTTGGCTTCAGTCCAGAGTGAGGCCTGAGTGATTGTCCTCTTTTATGGGCAAAGGGCAGTGTAGTTTTCAGCCTTGAAGTCTTATTTATTTAAATTTGTTTTATTTTTGTACAAATCCTTGTTGAACTTTAATCCTTCAAGGTAATCCGGTTAACTTAGCTAGACTGCTAAGAAGACATTAATACCCTCTGTTTGGGATGACAGTAGAAACAGTTCCAAAAAAAGATGCCTGTATTTGCCTCTCAGGAAAACTCCAATTATTCAATCTCATTTGGGGCAGAGAGGAAAAGAGCATGCAGGCAACAATTTTGATTTGTTAAACAGAGATTTGCTCTGAAAACTATTAATGGAGCAGTTACAGTACAAGAATAGTTTGTCGTTTAATATCTTTTTTAAAAAATGCCATATCTTTGGATGGGAGCTGGTCCTGCAGATTAAAAGAATCAGGAGCAACCCCTCCCCCCACTTAAAAAACACCAAATCAAGATGATGGTGGTGAGGGGGCTGCAATAAGCATATCATTTTCTGATCATTTAAGCAAAATATGTGCAAGGATGATTGAGATTAAAGTATAGTTACTGTTAATACTTTTAAAAGTATATAAATAAAAAGAAAGAAATAGAAGAGTGGTATATGGGAAAGATGTTTCATTACTCAACTAGCTAATATCATCAGTGCACTGATGATGTTACCTAGCTGGGTAATGAAAAGTCTGCAAGAAAACAACTAAGCTCAGAGAGCACTAAGGGTCCCACAGTTCAATCCTGATTTACAAATATTCTCTTCTATTGATATGGAAAAGCTGCTATATAAAATAAGGTTTTAATTGAATCTCTGATCCTGGCTTTTTAATGACTCTAAGAATGTCCTTGGGGCCACTTTGGTCTGGAGTTTGGTCACCTGTTGTGTGCATGCACTACTCTCTCTCAGATAGAAGGAGGATATTTGATTCTATAAGCTGGGATAAAGACAGTGTAACAGTTCAGGTGCTATAATTCCAGCACAGAACAAAGCCTTGGAATTAATTTTGCTGCTTACCCCCCAGCTCTAGAGATCTATTTGTTCATCTGGGGAAAAATATGCTACCAACCCATCCCTTAGAACAGGGGTCTTCAAACTTGGCAACTTTAAGACTTGTGGACTTCAACTCCTAGAATTCTGGGAGTTGAAGTCCACAAGTCTTAACGTTGCCAAGTTTGAAGACCCTTGCCTTAGAAAGTGGTTGTGGAGATCACATTTACTTTCCTTCCACTCCAGGAAGAGCAGTGCATATGGATTAGGATGGAGATTGAGGGACTATGAGTTCCGTGCTGAGGAGGGCAGCTAGATATATCAAATGAACGAATGTATGAATAAATAAATAATTAAATGTCTAATCAAACTTGCTTCTGAGCTCACGAGAAGCAAAAGGAGAAACGATGGTGGTAGCCAAGCAGCTCCCAGCCCATTTAGGTTACCCCTGGGCCTTGTTTCCAAATTTTCAAAAAAAAAAAAAAGGCAGGGAGGGGGGGAGAATAAATAGCATGAGCCTCTATGCAGACTTACAGTTCAACATAACTGTTTGAAGAATGCTTTGGGGAACTTTGGGAGCTGCGTACTTAAATTTAATAAATGGAAGAACTTCTATATTCTAAAGGAAACATGAAAGCAAGAAGTGTAATTATTTTGGCCTCTTCCTGCCTTTCACACTAGCCTGAGCTTTGGATAATATCTATCCTTTCATCTGGATTTGCTTTATTCCTATATTAGATGGATGCTTTCAGTATGATTTGGAATTGCTTCAGCATTTTTAATCAACGGATTGTTTTGAATAGTTGAGAAAACATCCCATCTATAGACTATATTGAAATGCTATTTTCTACTGTGCCATGGGCTAGTGCATATTTAAAACACTGACAGCCCTAGATTTATGTTTGATAACCTGGGGCAAGAGACATAATGTCTGGCAACAGAGTATGTTTTTGAGGAGGAAGTACATGGGGAATCTTCCAGTGCTCTGGCAATAGTTTTCACTTTCCCTGTCCTTATTTAACCTAGTGTCAAACTCTGCTTTATTTAGATTTATTGTGTCAAATGGAAAAGGAAAAACAAAAGTTCCTTTCCATCCTATGTTCTCAGTTTTATTGGGACTGCATCTCCCATCACAGCTAGGAGGCACTGGGAAAGCAGGCATGGGCAGAGCATCTGGAGATCCACTTCATGGTATATCCTCTCTATCCAATGTATTAATCTATGTCTTATCCTATCATCTTGTAGAATGATACCTCCCATGAGCAAGACCTTCCTGGTCAACAACTTGGCTGCGGGGACGATGTACGACTTGTGTGTCTTAGCAATCTATGACGATGGCATCACCTCCTTGACAGCTACTCGCGTGGTGGGGTGCACCCAGTTCACGACAGAGCAGGACTACGTGCGCTGCCATTTCATGCAGTCCCAGTTCCTGGGTGGGACCATGATCATCATAATCGGAGGGATTATCGTGGCTTCTGTCCTGGTCTTCATCATCATCCTCATGATTCGCTATAAGGTGTGTAACAACGGCGGGCACCACAAGGTGACCAAGGTCAGCAACGTTTACTCCCAGACCAACGGGGCTCAGGCCCAGGGGTGCAGTGGAGCCGTCATGCCCCAGTCTGGGTCCAAGCAGGCCGTGGGGCGTGAGGAGAGCCTGCAGTGCTGCAAAGTCAGCAACGACAGTGTGGCACAGTCGTCGGAAGCCTGCTGCAGCCAGGACTCCTCCACTGCTACCTCCTCTTTGCCTCCCATGTGGACTCCTGGCCCTCCCACTTCCCAAAAGCTGAAGCGTAAGCCCATGCCAAAGCCCAGCAGTGATCCTCCACCGCCGAGCGAAGGCGCCGCTACCAGCCTAGAATCCCAGAACACTAATCGCAACAACTCAACTGCTCTGCAGTTGGCTAGCCAAACCCCAGACTATGCCAAAGGGGGCTCCCAGTACAAAAGAGCACAAGCCAAGTCAAGTAAGTTCCTCACTTTGCCAGCTGACCCATCCCGGGCAAAACGCAGGTACTCCCTGAATGGAGAATTAATGGAATACCATTGTTATATTAACTCCTCAAATGCAGGTGGATTTTGGTCTAAGCGGAGCTTGTCTATGAATGGGATGCTAATGCAGACAGACTGTTCCAATGTGGATAGTGGCAAAGCAACTTTCTCAAGTTCTGAGTGGATATTGGAAAGCACTGTGTGATCAGCTGTGATGTGTGGTTTTTTTTTTCTAAATTAAAAAAAGTACGGAGTACCCCATCCTCCAAACATTATTGGAAAACGTGTATCCATTCCAGCAGTTTGCATTTTCCACCCTTATTGTTTTTTGGGCAGAGTTGGGCTCAAACCACCAGGCCCTTCCACTTGTTCCCATTTGGGTTTTCTTGGTTTTAGTATAACAACCGAAGGCAAATATCTTGTTCAAAGAGCTCATTTTTTTAAAAAAAAAAAGTGATCAAGGAAAAAGCACGAAATGACACTAGTGCCTTCCTTTTTCCTTGGATTGGCATCTTGGTTCTCCAGTGGCAGATCAAGAACAAAAGCACATGGGCAGAAAAGGCCTTGTGTGGAGGCCATTTGTCTTTCCTCTACACCAACCATTTAATGGATCAATCATGATACAAAAAGAATATTTTTTAAAGCAATCTTGAGTGTCTTTTTCTTCCCTCTCTCCCCCCACCCTCCCCCCGTGGTAATGGTGTTGCCTTCATTTTCAGGCAAATGCTGTAAAATCTCAACAACTCTATGTTGTTATATTGTGTAAAATAAAATATTCCGTAACTACACTCAGTCAGTGTTACAAGAAGTTCCCCCCCACACACACACAGCTTGAATCATGGCTCAGGTGTTCTGGTGAGTGATGTGACTGCCCCATCTGTCTGGCGGATGGAAAGAAGGGGGAATAGCTTGATCTCCTGGGATCAGGTATGCTGGATTTCACTCCTGATGGTTTCTGTACTTTGCCAGCTGAGGCCCAGTTCCGAACGAAACTCCTGGGCGCAGGAATATCAAAGTTTTACAGCTTGAGAAGTTGGTTGTGCAAATCAAGAAGGTTCTCTGCCTGAATGGGAGGCTGGGAGAGCTTTTGATCTCTAGCAGCTGTAGAGCGAGCAAAAGCTTCTTTCTATCTTTAGCTTCTAAGTGAAATGGTGTCGAAGAGTGTCCGAATTTCCTTTTGTTCATTTCCTGTTGATAGCTGAGATGTATTGCCAGGATTGAGTCGGTGACATTTAGATTTGATAAAGTTGATCTCATGTTGCTTTGAAAGGCAACGAATCTATGCTGCAGAGCGGATGCTACTCAGCATAACAAAAGGGGATGGGAGATTAGTCAGAACAGTTTCCCCATACTACAGTGCTCTCAGGCTTTATTGAGGCTCCAACCTGAGAGCCAACAGCCAACATGGTTGGAAATTTGGCTTCTGCATTATTTCATCTTGATTTTGGAGGGTCATAAAAACATTCTCAATCCTTTGTTCTTTTGGCTGAAGTGGAAAATATGCATATTAATGCGCATGGCAAAGTTTACCAAATTTTTCAGAGTTCCCATTCAAGTTGTTGAGGTATTATCAGGAAATTTAAAAATGTGCTTTTTGATTCATTTTTGTTTGGATGCTATGGTATAATCATGGGATTGAAACTTTTATGACCTCTTTTCAGTGCTTAAATGAATAAGACATGTTTTGATTATACTCAAAAGAGTTGCAAATTTTGCATTTCATCAGACTCAAAATTAATATAATTTTTTTTCAAGCAATTGGAAGACAAATTGAAACTGGGAGTGGGAGTGATCTGATTAGCAACCAGGCTTGCTTTCCCCCAAAACTCCAAAAGTGTTTCACAGAAGAATATTAATATTATCTAACTCTCATCCCACATGATCCACTGTTCGTACCCCAAATCTTCTCATACATGACATTTTTGTTGTATAACTCAATTTGTAAGTTTGCAGGATACAAGTCATATGTATCACTCGCTGAATTTCAAAGACTGCTCTCAAATGGTGCAGCCTCGCTTGCTTTTTGGCAGAATTCAAGGAGATCAGTCAAACTAACACAGGGAAGGCACTGGCTTATATTCTGTGGGGTCCATTACTCAAGCAGTAAAAATATAACCTGGCATTATCATATAAGACCATTGATTTAAGAGGTTTATCAAGATTCAGCAATGAGCCATTCTGGGCAGTTCTCTCAAATTAAGTATGAAGGATGTAAGTATGGTTTCCAGAACTCCTTGTAGTAGTAAATGCCATGCTTGAACTGCTGTGGAAAATTGCTATTTAGATTAGACAGTGTAGTAAGGCTTGGCCTTGTTCTCCATTAATAGTCCTCCTGCTTACGTTATATGTTTGACTTAATCAATGGATGTGTGACGAATGTTAATATGTTTTGCAAACTACGGGCCATAGTGAATCGATCCACCCATTTTTTCCAGGATTGATTTGGAGCTAATGTAACATTCACTGCTCCAGTAATATTGCCTGAGCATTAATTGTCCTTTCTGTTGTCCATGATTGAGATGAATCTTTGAGAGGACCTTCTTTCTTTGGTCTTCCCTAAGTACAATCTCCTGGGATGGTTTGGTTTTCCTTCACACCTCTGTGATCACACTGGGATGGAAAAGGAAGCTGTAAATATGGTATGCCAATCCCAGTCATATTATTTGTGATATATATTTAAATATATATCTATCTTTTTCAAAATGACTCTTGGCTGACTGTTCAAGACTGCATTGATAGTGCATGACAGTAGGTCTGTTGATCGGGGATTACTGAGTCAGTTGTGTTGTTCAAACATAGCTGCTGTGAAGCAGTTGCTTAAAAGAGCAGATTTCACTGGACTGGACAAGTTGTTATTTTTAAAATCTGTATCAGTGCACCATTATTTAAATATTTGGAGGGGGGGTTTACTGAAAAAAATCTAGAGTCAGAAAAAGACCCTTTCCAGTATTTGATTTTTTGATTAGGTTGCCAAGCAAGTTGTTATCTTTCATTTCTGTCTTCTTTTTTCCATTTTCCTTCTCACACTGAGGGCCAATTTTAGGTGGCAATAGGGCAATTTCTGCCCAGTGACATGGCAGCATATTTGACCTTGGCTGATCTTGAAAAGCTAAGCAAAATCAAACTAGTATTTAGAAAGAAGATCACCAGAAAATCCAAGATGAACTAACAAATTAGGGTAGGAAGCCAAATAACCAACTAGCTGGCTTGAAAGAAGTCAGTGGCAAGAAGCCTGCATGTCGACAAAGTCACCAGGAACAATCAAATTTGTGAATACATGTAGATTTCCAATTGTGCCTCTTGATTCTTTTCTCCCAAAATGTTTGTGTTTCAGCCTTATTTCTGTACTTGAAAATATATTTGGCAGACTTCATTGGGTTGGCAGATGTGCTAATTCAATCCCTCCCCTCCCACCAAGGATTTCTGGTCACAGTGCCAATTCACTGCTGAGACATTAGCCAGCTCTGTACATTGTATGACCTATTTGCATTTCAGTTGATGCAGCATTGAGCAAGAGAAGTTGAGTTGATTTCTTCTATCGTTGATAGTCTTCTCAAATGAAACCTTGTGGGAGATGGTCAGCTTTTGAGTTGGGTTATCCATAGAGCGACTATATTTATATGTCCTGAATAGATGGAGTAAAAATAATGTTGGGCAGCTGAAAGGAAAAGCTTAGCAAGAGATCAGAGACAATTGTGGGCATTTTTTGCCCAACTTTTAATTGATCACATGCTGATTCTTTCTGCATTGGCTACCTTCCTTGGAGCTCTGGTGGTGCAGTGGTTATAATGCAGTATTGCAGGCAAACTCTGCCCACAGTCTGGCATATGATCCTGACAGGGCTCAAGGATGGCACTCATTTTCATTTTTTTTCCTTTGCACAAAGTCTTCTGATCTGAAATTTTGCATAGTTGCTACACAACTTGTTTGAATTGCAAATTGTTATCAAATGCTGTTGTGCAAACAACGTGATTGGACCATTGCTCATCCTGTTATACATAATATATTTAGCCAATGGCTTAAAGGTTCCAGGCTCAAAATGAAGGAACCTAAGATGATCTATGATGAAGGATTACATTGTTTTATGAAGTTCCTTCAATTTGGGAGCAATTTGGGGCCTGAACTACAAGAACATGTTGTGGGTATATTCATAGAATGGATGTTATGGAGGGTTTGTCCAATTACAAAATTCTTATTTGTTAGAAGGCAAGTTATAGAAGGTGGCAGCACTTAACCAACCTTGACTGGTCTTGAAAAATCTAAGCAGATATTGAACTAGTTATTAGTTTGATGAGGACCACACATGCATAGCCCAGCCCTGTAAATGAGAATGAGTGGAGAAAAACATTATAGAAAACAAAGACAGTTCTGGCATATTCTTGCCAAGGAAATGACATGAACATGCTATAAAGTCACCAGCAGTGGAATGCAACTTGAGGGAGCTTTATATAAAAAAGTAAACTGCCCTGAAACCTAAGTAAAAGACAGAAGTAAACTCTGAACCTACGCATGATATACTTTTGCCCACAGGGCACAATGAAATATTCTAGTTCAGTGTTTCTCAACCTTGGCCAGTTTAAGATGTCTGGACTTCAACTCCCAGAATTCCCCATCCCACATACTGCCTGCAGAATTTTGGGAGTTGAAACCGAGACATCTTCATGTGGCCAAGATTGGCAAATACTGCTATAGTTCATGAAAAAAATATTCTTGATGCAGGAATTCTAGGAAATAAACATGATACTGTAGGTTGACACTTTACCTCGCAAAATGCCAGCATCTCATTCATCTATTTAAAGTGTTTAAAAGTCATTTTAGAAGTCATATAAGTCCAGGAGCATGACAGAGAAGCATCTTGAAGATTAGCCTTTTTTTTAAGAGAGAAAAAAGAATGAGAGAATATGAGAATAAGAAAGAAATATTTTTAAAACAATAAGAAAGAATGATAAGGAAAATGCCAACAAGTTTTCCATATTTGTAGCCTTCCCGGGACCCTTACTGTTGTTCTAGTACCAAATTCAGCTGTATGAGTTATTTTCCTTGCTATTGCCATTGATTTCACAATGGAAATAGTAGTGCTTTATAACTGATAAATATTAATATTAATTGCTGACCTTCCCCTGCTGGGAAAGAGAATGTTTGGCCTTTGATTCTGTTTTGGATCCAATTGAATTTTTTTTATACCTCCAAATCTGTGTTGATTTC